TCTGGATTTCCATAGGACCCATTGTGATTTCATCCTTTTTCTTCCTAATTGCATTAATTTGAGTCTTTTCATTTCTTTTTTTTTTTCTTTTTGTCTTTCTTTCTTTCTTTCTTTCTTTCTTTTTTTTTTTTTTTTTTTTGACAAGGTTAGCTAACAACCAACTTTTCAGTTCCTTGTTCATTATTTTCTTAGTCTCAATTGCATTACTTTTTGGTCTAATCTTTTGTCTTCACTTTTTCTTGTTTTTCTAAACATTTGAGGTTCAACACTAGGTTGTTTATTTGAGCTCATTCTGCTTTCCTGATCTAAGTATTCACTGCTACAAATCTCCTTCTTAGGACAGCTTTAACTGTGTCTCATAATTCTGGTATGTTGTATCATTACTAACATTTTACTGTAGATACTGTTAAATTTTTCACTAATTTCACCTAGTGAAATTTTTCACTAATTTCATTGTTTCCTCAGCAGGGTACTATTTAATTTCAGCATTTTGGTGGTTTCTTTTCCCATTGATTTCTAATTTCATTGTACTATGATCTGATAATTTGTATGAGGTAATTTCAGTTCGTTTGCATTTACTTAAGCATGTACAGGAACTTCTATACAAAGTTTCCTGTAGTAGAGTGAATTTACTTTGTGGTGGGAAAATTTAAGAAGGATAAGGGACAAAATAGAAAGCAAAATGAGAAAAATAGTAGAACCAATACTGAAGGAAAAAAGATGATCACTCAGACTTTGGGATATTGAAGAGGGGGTAGGTGACAGAGAAGGAGGAAAAAAGCAAAAGATTATCCAATAAGACCAGAAAGACAAAAGAGAATGTTCTTATATGTAAATATCAAAAAATAAGAGAAATATTTGGATAAAGAAAATAAATAGTTACAAATAAGAATAAAAATGAAGAACTGAACCAGCTGACACACAAAAACCCTGTTTATCTTTGTGTGTCTCCAGCTGCTGTGGTGCCCTCAAGCAGAGCCAGCCTGGGCTGCCCCCAGTGTTCAGCTGGTTTCTCCAGGTCACCCCAGGCTTCTCTGCTCCACTTCTCTCCACTGCTCCTCTCTCTCTTCTCATGCTGGTGGTTACTAGGTGGGGTGGGGGTGGGCTGGGGTGCTGTGGCTTCTGCTGTCACCACAGACAGCTGGTCCCACTGATCTCCACTGTGGTGGAGGTGCTGCCGACCTCATTAGTTGCCGGGTGGGACCAGTTGTGTTGTTTCACTCTTTAACTTTGCCATGGGTGCCACTGTCATGTGCAGCTGTGCCATGCTGGTCCCTAGATTTGTGGACTTGCTGCTTCTACCTCAGTCTTGGGGGCAGCCCAAGGCTGCTTGGTCTACTGCAATCTCTACTCCCACAGAGGGAGTGCCATGGCTGTTTAACTCTCATGCTTCTGCATCCCTCTCATTGTCACTGGGCAGGAAGGGCCCTGGCTGTCCTTAGTGGCTCCAGTTACGGTGTGCAACAAAAAGTAAAGCTGACAGCCTGTTGGGGAAGGAGCAGTGCAGGCAACATTTGCTACCGTGTCCTCTGTGTAGAGGAAAGCACAAGATGCAAGGGGCCTCCTAGTCTAAGTCTGTGCTATCTCGTTTGACTTAGCCACACTTCTGTAGTCTCTCCAGTTTTTGGAGACCTCACAGTATGGCAAATCTTGCTCAGCAAATAGGTGGCATGCCACTGGCAGCCCTGTGGGTTGGACTGCTGTTTTGTAAAATCCTATGTCTCTATTGTGTTTGATATACAAGTCTCATATTTCAGATTGATTTGGGCATTAGGAAGTATGTGTCTCCCTTTCCTCCTATTTCCTGGGTTTTAGCTGATCTTCCTGAGTAGCTCCAATGCGGCTCTTCTTCTACTTAGCCATTTTGGTACTTGCCAAGATATTACTTCTCTTGTGAAAGTTTCTTTTCTGAGTCTTTGGGTTTAACTTCCCAGAAATGTTCATTGACTTAATTTTGTAAACATGTCGCATATTATTTAACCTAAAATGCTTTCTACTGTATTATGCACAACTGTTTGAATATCACTAATACTGGTGAAAATGCTGCAACCGGAGAGAATGGATTGAGATGGAAAGGTGTGGTGACCAAGACTGGATTATTTCCTACCCCATTGTTTTCACCATCTGTTTGGACAATGTTCCTCTTCCCTATTCTATTCCTGTACTGAGGTTTACAGATATAATGGGTGGCCTTTATTCTTTGCCTCTGTCCTCAAGTCTGGTAATGTTTCTCCTTCCCAGCACTCCCATCAGTCTCCATGAAACCCAAGGCTCACTGTACACATAGGCCATGGTGCCTCTATACCCTGTTTTGATATCTTAGCCATATTTATTTATTATTTTGTTATTAATGCATTTATTTAATTCTCTTCAATAAATGTTTTGACTGTACCAGTTATTTGCCTCTAGAGTAAAAAACCATATAGTGCTGAAGTATTTGATGTAGGACATATAGTAAATTATTTCTCTCAAGTCAAGGAATTTCCCTACCTCCAGTGATAACAGCGGAGATTTCAAAAATTAGGTAAGGGATATCAATTGTGTTAACACATGTGTAATTAATATTATAAATGTCTTAAGAAGTAAAATAGGAGAGGGCAGAAGGTTTCAGTTGCAATATAATAAATATTAAGGATCTTCTCTAGGGCATTCTTTTTCTCTCTTTTGGATAATGCTCAAAATAAGTTCTTAGAAAACAATAAGGTGGCATTTAGGTAGCTCAAGTTAAACATGGAAGAAATCCTAGATGAGGGGAGCACGATTTCCAGTTTTACATGGAAGAGCATGCAAGAACATATACCTGGAATCTAAACCTAGAATGTTACTTGTGCAAAATAGACAAAGTCAGTACTGATTCTTGTTCTAGAGGATTCAGGAAGCGTGCAAAATTGTTAAACACAATGGCTGAGCATTATGGGAAAATAATAATGTAAATAATTTCACTCAACTTGGCACCCAATTGATACATCCATCTCAGAAAACTTGAGATAACACAGACTGTTTACCTAACTACACTCACAACTCATATCAGCACGGAGCTTGCAGAAAACAGACCATTGTGAGTCATGAAGGTGGATCTGGGCTGGACAAGCATTAATACTATGTGAAACAGTACCATTCTGTGAACAAAATGGCCATCATTTCATTCAGCCTGGAAATGACTTGAAAACAATTAGTCCTATGAAGCTTTACCTTATTCATGTTACACATTTCCAATTCTGAAAAAAAAAAATGCCCTTTATATACTTCCATTCTCACACTCATCAGAATAGGAGTGGAGAAAGCATAATGTATCACTTAGTGAAAGATTTAAGTGATTTGAAGTTGAGACTTTTGAACTTGAATTCCAGCTCTGCTCTTCCTATCTATGTGATCTTATTATATCACATATTATTTTCTGAGCTCTAGTACCTTGGTTTCCTCACTCACATTCTAGGGACCAGATTAGTCTCTACTTCTTGGGAATGTTGTGATAAATGAATAAAATGAATGAGACACTAAAGACAAACACTTTGTAGGATAGCTGGCACCATAGTATTTCATAACCTTAGCTGCTTTTTTGTTTGTGAATTTTCCTAACAAGATTCTATGAATGGATTTTTGTATTATTTATCTTATATGTATCAGCAAATACAGTAAGTGTTAAATAAATATTTGCTTAACAACTTAATAAGTTTAATTTGTTTTACAAATTTGTTTTCCTATTTTAAATGAATTCTTGTATTCTGCTTATTATTGCTGTTGCCACCGAAGTTTCCATGATAATCACAGGAAAGAGAGCAATGGTTCACTGTAATTTAAATGTCCTTCTTTGAATTAACACCAGCACATAAGTGTAAATGTGTACCTGTACTATTAGGTACAGAAGGAACATATGCACTTTTTTTTACAATAATCATTTAACAAAAATAAAAACATTAGTAAAATAATAATTAGGAATAAATTAATAGGTACATGAAAAGAGGGAAAAGGTTACTCACTGGAATTTTCTTTTATAAACACTTAACAGATTTTTTTAAAACAGCATAATCATGTGAGTGCTAGTTAATTTGTGTTAAAGAATAAGCCAAGGGTAGCCATTGATGAAAACCTAACTATCATCAATCTATCAAATAGACTGCCTCTTGCACTTATTAATTTTGCGGTTAATGTAGCTGATATAAGATCCTTTTCAAACTTAAAATTTTAAATTAAAAATTGGATTTTTTAAAAAGAAAAATAAAGCTAGTAATGATAGGCTGATTTCAAAACCTAATAGTAGCACAAGGTTAAGCAGATTGAACTAGTAAGGAGAAGTACATGCTTTCATGTTTTATGGCTATTTAGACCATAGCAGCTTCAGTGTTTATTGTTTCAAAATGTTTCTATTATTTTATGTTTTTATTAGGGGAAATAATAATAAAGGTAACCATTTATTAACTTTATAACAAGCAAACTGAATTGAAACAAATGCTTCATAGACATAATCCCATTCACAGTGATCCATAAAGGCACAATCATATCTACTTATTTTATTTGCCAATGTCCCCAGTATTTATTGCTAGTCAATAGATAGCTATTACGTGATTGAATTATCTTTCCTTTGAAATAGGTCTTTATAAAAAGATTATCTTAGCTTTTAATATTTTATTGTTCTGAACGTATTATATCTTATAAAATTTATCTTTACCTGTCATGGATACCTACATTTGTGCATGCTATAGTTGTAGTGAGAGAACGCCTGAGGGATACTGTTAATTTAAGATGTGCAAAAGGCTGAAAATTGTCATACCATATCTTAGAAAGTTCCTGACCAATGCAATATAGTTAATAAAATGCTTGCAAAGATTGATGCATGTAAACTGAAGAATAGAAAATATGACCACTAAAAATACTTAGAAAGCATAGTCAGGATTTCTTTAAACTTCTTTTAACATTATAGAAATAGTTAATTAAACATGAAATTGTGAAGGATAAAATTTGGTCCGAGAACCAAAAACCAAGGCTCAGATGAGACTCACCAGAACAGTCACCACCCGGAGAACTACTCCACGCATATTGTTCTCTAGCTTCTTGTCAGTCAGTGACCCATTGAGACCTGTGATAGGATTCCAGCACCCGAGCTGAAAGAGTAAAATAACTCTGGTCATTTTTCAGCCTGAAGAGCAGCCCAATCACCACTGACCAGAGAGAACTGTGGGATAGCTCTTTGAATAATTGGTATGGGAAGTGCCCCGCACAGAATTTCCTTTTTAATACCAGATGAACTGTAGGAAATGCCATTGCCTGCTTTTAAATATTATTTTATGACATAGACACTATCCAACACACTTTAGGAGGCTTATTGAGGACATCTGATTTAATGAAGAATTATATATATACCAGTAACCTAGACACTTATTGGAAAAATAATAGCACATCTAATTTGAGCATAATGTCTAACTATCACATACTGCACAAGTTAAAATTTCTTATAACTTTAATGTTTTAATTTAATCTTACACTGTTTTTAATATGAAAATAACTACCAAAATCTTAAAAATATTTTAATATGATTAAAGGGATAACTGCTTTTGTTTAAGAAAAAAATCATGTATGAGGTTTGTTTAAACACAAAACAATGTAACTTTCCTTTTTTGTCAACTATCAGTCAGTTTGAATATTTTGGCTACAGTCTTTTTTTTTTAAAGCCTTGCAATGATTCACTGCTTTGTACCCTCTAAAACGAAGGATGAATTTTATATCCTTATGTAGTTCTTACCTCTTGTAATACCCAAATCAGAGGAATATTGATTTAAAAATTACAGCTCAATCATCACAATGCAATAACAATGAATGAGTCTCAGTCAGATATAAGGAAAAAAGGAAGAGATGAGATGAATTGGATTAAGAGATACCAACTTGAGGAGATGAGCTGCCTGGACAATACTGTAATACATATCTTAGGAGGAAATGCACCTATTAACCCCAATATTAATTCCATGAATCTTCACATTTGGGAATCTACTCTGTGTTTTTGTATTCAAAAAATGTAACAAAGCAGCCAGGCATGGTGGTGCATGCCTGTCATTCTAGCACTTGGGAGGCTGACGCGGGAGGATTGCTGCAAGTTACAGGGAAGATCGGGATGCACAGTCAATTCAAGGCCACGCTGAACTGCGTAATGAAATCCTTTCTCAAAAAGACAGAAAAAAAGTGTAGCAGAGCTTTAGTCATATTTGGAGACTGTTTCATTGACTGAAAGGGTACCTAGGTATTTTTGTTCTCCCTTCTGATGACTATGTTTTATTTCCTTATATTGCATTTTGTTTGTGGCTTTCAAAGTCATTAACATATTGGCAAACCTCTCTAATAAATGACTTAGGTGCTTCCTATTATAACTCAAGTTTCTCTTTGAGCTCCTAAAAGGTGTTTAATTAAGAAAACTAAAATGTGCATAGCATATTGTAAGTGAAGGGGATGTCATAATATAAATAGCAAGGCCAATCTTTTTCTTATTAAAGGAATCTGAAAAAGACTGCTAATTGTTGGTTTCAACTGTAAAAGCACATTAAATTCTTACAATTATATGTCATTCTTAGTTACATAAAGAGTTTAATTAGATCTTAGATCCAATTAGCAAATCCAAATGTGGTGCAAGTCTAATTATCAGAGATACTGTAGTCCTCTTCCCAAATTTAACAACTTAGGAAATTTCTTTTAAGGGTTTTCTGTTTTCTGAGGTCAACCAAAGTCTATCCTGCATTACATTCCTGAATACACATTTTTGCTAATAACTCTGAAAGGATTTTATTTTCCTATATGAAATAATACTAACAGAAAAAGCGACATAGAAAACTTTATGTGAAGAACTAAATTTCCAGTGCACTATCACAAGACTTTACTGTGTTACTTAATTTCAAATCTTAACAAATAACTTTAGAAGAGAAACCTGTCCACGATAAACATGTCTGTGTCAATGCTGACAAAAGTATGAAAACATTTCCCTTGAAGTTGATGTTTGAATTTGGTGAACCCACTGGAGGTTCGCCTTAGTAAAGCGCATCAACGAACAAAGACTTGACTGTGGCACTTTTGGTATTCTCAACAGTCAAAATATTTATTCCTGAGTTAGCAGCAAAACTTGTGGGGCAATTTGTTTCAACAATGCTGTGCATAGTCACTTAAAATATGTAATTTCCATCTTTTTTCTAAGTTAACATTCTCCTTTAAATGTAACTAAATATAGGTAAAGATTTATAATTCTAAAGTGCTCTAATGTTGCAGGTTCCAAATAACAAAAAAAGGATTTGGAGCAGGTGAAATAAGTAAACGTATCTTCATACCTACGTAGTGGTTTAACCGTTGCTTGTACTATATATGATGCTTCTTCTCATTTTATTTTTCAGTTTTAATGTTTGTTCAGACACATCCTCATACACACACATACACACACACACACACACACACACACATATATACACACATATATAGTAAGACAATAAATCCCTCCTATAAACATTTTTCTTTTTTGTATATTTTTCTCTCTCTTTTTTAATCTGAGTCATTCAGCTCTTCCCTCATATGCATGAATGTCAGTGCTTCCTTAACGTTAGCTGAGAACATCAAGAACTAGCACAAAGATTGGATTTTATGGTGTGGAATGTTCAAGATGCCAATTCTCTAGAAAACTAGAAATAAATCTTCTTACCATATAACAAAATCACTTAAGAAAATCAGTAAGAAAATAAATGATACTTATTTCTTATAACTACAGACTTTCTTTGTGTCAGCCTTGGACTGAGCTCCTTGCCCCGAGATGCTATGATCATGATTGTTTTACAGGCAAGGAAATGAAAGTCTCAACTCAGGACACAATCTACCAAGAGATGAAACTAGAATTGATAATAAAGTCCAGATTCCCACATCTTTAAATGCAGCTTTGTTTTATACTTTATTAAATTTTTTATAAAAGAATCTATTTAAGGTAGCAGGGAAGATATTTCTACTTTGTAACCAAGGACACTGCAGTGACTCTAGATAGTATGCAAGAAATTTACAACAGGGTAATAATATTTAAAAGGTGATATTGTCATCACCACGTCTACAACTACTGTAACAGGTACAAGTATATAATGTTTGCCAACTATATAAAAGCTTTACATAGATTAACTCACTTAATTCTCTGAAGAGTCATTTAAGGAACGTCCTGCTCATATGCCTATTTTAACAGAGGAAAAAACTCAAGACTGAGAGGTCTGGGTGTTTTCATTCTTGTTATTGAAAGAACTGGATAGAGGAAAGGAATAGAAAAATGCAGTTTGAAACAAGATGCTCAAAATATTTCTGGGATTCTCCACTTTGCAGGGTCAGCTTAATAAAAAGTGTAGAACATGTTTCATCTATCCAAGGGCCTACTGATGTCTCAAAATATATACTGAAGATAAACAAGGAAGTCAACAATAGCAAACAGAGGAAATATTGATTAGCCACATCTTTCTGAAGGGTTTCTCAAGTTTTCAGATCTCTTAATTTCTGCTCATCTCCACTTATTTCTCTGAGGTTTGCTTTAAGATATTCTGCTTGATTATAATAACTCCTTCAAATAATAAGCACTAAAAATGAGTTAAGTTCCTACTGATTCAGACTGCGTTAGTATCTACAACTATATTCCTTACAGCATTGCCAGACCCACAGGGGGTATGCTTGAGGAAAAACTAGAAGCCTTTTCTAAAATCATCTCTTGTTTCATTGTTTGAAATCATTAACTGGACTACTTTGGGCTGCAATGGAGAAAGTTGTTTTCATACGGTTACATTTTTACTTTTGTTTCTGCTTTTATTTTTAACAGGAAGGCCAGAAATTATTATAAAGATCACACATGCACATGCCCGCGCGCACGCACAAACACACACACACACACACACACACACACACACACACACACACACATATCTTATGTTACCTATTCAGCAGAGCACTTTCTAAATAAAAAATAATAAAGCAGCCCTGCAACGCATGAGATTTACAGAATGTCACACTGCTGATGGCAAAACAAGATTCGCTATCTTCTGTGATCTGGCAGTTTTAAGAAAAGTTAAAAAAGATAAAATAGTAAAAACCAATTCCATATCCTTTCAACTGTGGTATATAGGTTTCCTATCGTGTTTTCTGGTTATTGCCTAAAGTAATTTTAAACCCTTTGAAAACTGTTGTTCTAATTATTTCCTTCCTTGAAGCTTTGGTAATAACAATCATGTAGCTTTCTGTTAAAATCAATGTAATATCTCATGTTCAACAAATTGTTCAATGACTTTGCATGAGTGCAGTAGCATGCTTCTACAATTATATATACTGATATCAGTATATATAAAACTGAATGATCAGTTTTATATATTTACTTTTTGTCCTAAATGTTTTTGCCTTTCATTTGTCCAATGCCTCTAAGGAATGACGTAGCTCTGGAGTTTTATATCACTATTATCAGGCAGTGTTAGATGTCAAAAAGAGCTGAACTGTCCAATTTTAATTTTATGCTCAATTGTTTGTAGACTTTAATAACAGGAGTCAAAAGAGCTCTCAACTGCAGACTGAGTACAATGCCCTGAGTACACTCATAGGGAAAAAAGTTTGACTGTCCTATCCCAGCTCCAGCCGCAGAACAGGAAACAGTCACTGTACTGAGGGCAGTGCGCTCCTCCCTCTTGTTTCATTTCTTGCTTCATATCCTTTACCAAAAGACTCAACAACAAGAACATAGGCCGATCAGCTTGAGAGTTGGTCATTTAGAAACATGCAGCATTTATTTGGTAAATATTACTTCGGTAATGATATTGAAAGTGCAAAAAAAAATGTGGCAGGTCAACACAGATGAGTGTTTCACAGAGCTAAAGTGGAATGCTTTAGGTTTAGACATGGGTAGGAATGCAGTGTATCAGTAATACTTCCGATGATAATTTTCTTTTCTTTTTCTTTTTTACTGGTACCAGGGATTGAACTCATGACCATGCCCCCTTATGCTGCTGAGCTAAATCCCCAGCCCCCGATAATAATTTTCTTTATGGCATTTTTCAGCTGTAAAATAGGTTTGATGCATAAGAGTTGCTGTCTTGAGGATGCGTATGTGCTCCTAAGAGTTTCTTCA